ATATTTTTAAAAATAATAATATAATTATTTTCACGACACGACTGAGAATGATCTCGAAAAACTTGTTCGAGAAACTTGGAGATTCGATTTTTTTTCTTTTTTTTTTTTTTTTTTAAATTTGGAGATTCATCTTCTTTGGTTCTCACGTGGGAAAAAAAAAAGAATAAACAAAAATGCACATATGGGGGCTTTAGACGAGAGAGAAAATGCCTCGAGCCTTACTGGTAACAATCTGTTTATGTATGTATGTATTATGCAGATGATAGGATGATAGAAAAATTAAATAAAAAAAAAATTAAAATAATATATAAACATTTCTTGTTACTACCAACAAGCGCACTGTATGTATTATATTGAAAATTGATAAAAACGGATTTTTCGCATTTTTTGTTTTTGTTTTTGTTCATAATTTTAATCTTCTTTTGTTCGCTAACTCTACTTCTCTCATTTGACTTTGATATAAAAGAAGGGAAAAGTTAATATTTATATAAAATTTCATTAATTTATATAAAATAGGGAAAGTTAAAAATATCATTTGTTGATTCAATCCTAACTCTCACCCCACCCACCCAATTATTATTATTATTTTGTTAATTATTTATTACAAATATTAGCAACGTACAAATTGTTTTTTTTTTTTTTTTGATTAATTTTCTTTATATGCAATTGAAAGAGAAAACAAAAATTTGCTAAATATTGAAAATATTATTATCATCCACGGGGCAACTTATATGTATGGTGGCTGTTATTTAATTTTTTTTTATTTTTTTATTATTATTATTATTATTTTTCTCTTCTTTTTTATGAATAACATTGTTTTATAACGTTAGAAATATTTGACAATCTAACATACGAAAAAATCTTTGTATAATGTTTATTTGATTTATACGAGTGAAGAGAAAAATTTATTTCATTTAATATATGGGGGTGTAAGTATATATATATATATATTGTATATATGCACCAAATTATTGTCACGACTGTACCAAGAGCACGTTATATGCGTAAATGCATTTATTAACACGATAAAGAAACAAAAAATTAAAAAAATCAAATAATACAAAATTAAAAAAAAAAAAATGGAATTAATTTATTCCTTGCTCGTATACTACTTCCATTTTATATTTACCATAGTTGCACCACCCACAACATACACACACACACACACACACACCGATGGTGGTGGTTCTATACATTCGCAACGAATAATTATTTCAAATAATTTGCTTTTCCCAACACGACACATTATATATATATATAAAATTTTTTTCCCTTGTCGTAGATATTAAACTAAATTATTAATTTGCATCCCCATACGGAGGGGTGGGGGTTGAAAAAAATAAATCAATTATTCGCGTGCACTCTCGCATGCCGTGTAACATTATTTCCTATTGCAAAATTAAACAAATGTAGAACGTAAATTAAACAAAAATATTGCAAATTTGGAAATTTGAAAAACAGAAGAAAACAAATTGAAGAAAAAAGAAAAATAAATAAACATTTTTATGGTAATTTTTTAAACTTAAATATTAAAAAAAAAAAAAAAACAAATTAAAGGAAAAAAAAAATATATATATATATATATATAAATATTTAAATAAAACATATTTATAAATAGGTTATATATGTATACTACGCGTGTATGTGTGTTTTATCGCACGTATTATATTAGTTTATATATATATATTTTTTTTTTATATATATAGATATCAAAGAATGTTAAGGGAAGAATTATTTGATTTTTCTTTCTTTCTTTCTTTCTTTTCTTTTTCTTTTCTTTCTCTTAAATGCTAACTTTTTCGATGCGCTACTAAATTCGGAATGTTTATTTTAACGTGTGTGCCGATATATTTTTTTTTTTTATTATATTATTATTTATAATAATAATAACACGGACGATTTCTTATGGGACGACAAGATTCTAAGATGTAATTTATTTATTTTTTTTTTTTCTA